ACGGGGGGGTAAATGTGGGGGGGGGTGGTCAGACAGGGTCCTCACGCCCCCTCCCTTCCAGGTGGGAGACCCTGTGCAAAGTCAAAGCAGCACCCTTGTCTTCAAGGCTCTGAGGAGCACGGCATGTCTCCCAGCCAATCAGAAGATTACCTGCTGTATGGGTCACCGGGGTAACCGCTCCCCCCTCCCTCACTGCCAGGGAGGAGGCTGTGGGAGGAGGAGGAGGAGGTGGAGGAGGAGGAGGATGAAGGACCGGGCAGGGAGTCATCATCGGTCCGTCCTCCATCGAACACGTCGTCCACGTCCACCGAGAGAGCCGGAGGAGGAGGGCCCCAGATGGGCGGGGCCAGGAGGAGTGGCTGTGAGGAGGGGTCGGCCGGGGGGGGCCTGGAGGCCCCCGGGCCCGTCTGGGAGCCCCGGTGGATCCGGTGACTGACGATGATGTTGTTCCCGAAGCCGCCCATGGACGCCATGGTGGTGCTCTGCTCCCGCTGGACCACCGCCGTCATCCCGCCCTCCGCGATCAGACGCCGGATACGAGCCAGAGCGTCCTCACCAGAACCGAACTCTGCGGACTCCACTGGACCTGAGAGGAACCATCAGGACACACAAGAACTGTTTCACTGAGGCGGGAAACGCTTAAAAAACTAAATGTTTTAAAATAAAAACCAGTTTGAGTCAGAACCAGTTTGAGGCTCAGACAGGTACCAGAAGCAGCTGCTGACGGGTCGGAATCTGCAGAAGCTTCGGGCGGATCACCGTCCTGGACCCCGCTGCTCTCAGAAGTCTCCGGTGTCTCCGGTGGAGCCTGAGCTGCTCGACTCGTAGACGGAGTTTCAGGAGTCACGTCTGACGAACACAGGAAGTAGACCTTCAGTTAGACCTACAGGACCACCAGAGGGTCTACAGGAACACCAGGAGGACTACAGGACCACCAGATGGTCTACAGGACCACCAGGAGGGTCTACAGGACCACCAGGAGGACTACAGGACCACCAGAGGGTCTACAGGAACACCAGGAGGACTACAGGACCACCAGAGGGTCTACAGGACCACCAGGAGGGTCTACAGGACCACCAGGAGGGTCTACAGGACCACCAGAGGGTCTACAGGACCACAAGGAAGGTCTTATACAGGACCACCAGAGGGTCTACAGGACCACCAGGAGGTCTACAGGACAACCAGGAAGGTCTTCTACAGGACCACCAGGAAGGTCTTCTACAGGACCACCAGAGGGTCTACAGGACCACCAGGAAGGTCTTCTACAGGACCACCAGAGGGTCTACAGGACCACCAGGAAGGTCTTCTACAGGACCACCAGAGGGTCTACATGACCACCAGGAGGCCTACATGACCACCAGGAGGCCTACATGACCACCAGGAAGGTCTACTGGACCACCAGGAAGGTCTACTGGACCACCAGGAGGTTCTACTGGACCACCAGGAGGTCTGCAGGACCACCAGTTTACACAGAAGAAAGAACTGAACTGAGGGGCTGATCTCAGGGGACAGAAATGTTTCTGGACAGCAGATTAAAAACTGAAACCTTTCCTAAATGTTTGTATTTAAATTAAAGACAACTGAGAGAATGATGATGTCATAGCTCCACCCCCAACCTCCAAACTAAAGGTCTTGATCTTACTGCGAGGCGGCTGGGAGACGCTGGGCTCTGATAGGTCCCTCTCTGTCTGCGTCTCTGCATTCTGCAGCTGGACGATCGGTGTCTGGGTTCCCTGTGATGTCACAGAAGGGGCGGGGTTTCTGGGCTGAAGACCGATGGCGTTCATCAGTCCCATGTCTCGGTCCAGCCTCCAGCCGGAGCGGTTTGGTCTGAAAATCAACCAGATGGAGAGAATTAAACATCTGCTGTTAGATCCGGACCAGGACCGGGTCTGTACCGGGTCACAGACATCAGGCTGTGGTTCTGGTCTCACCCCGGTCTGTCAGAACCTCGAGTCCTGCTGGTCCCACTGTTGTTGACTGAGAATAACGGCTCGCTGCTCGGCTCCGCTGGACTCTCACCATCACTCCTATAGAACCTGGAGACACACACACACACACACACACACACACACACACACACACACACACACACACACAGTTAATCTACTTCCATTCAGGAAGCATCTCATGAGGAGGAGGGACGTTTTCGTGGAATCGCTCAGATCAAAACCTCGTTAAATCTCTAAATAGGTCTTTTCCAATTAAAGCTCTTCCTGTTGATGAAGAAAATCACATTATTGGGGGGGGGGGGTGGTCAGCAGGAGGAAAAAACAACAAATCAGAGCTGAAAACCTACATTAAGATGAGTTTTTCCATGAGGTGATGTTTAACTGAACCTACTGATGGAAATAAATCTGTTTTTATTAAAGAAACATGAAACAAAATCAGACTAAAAACAAACTTTGATAAATCTGTGGAGCTACTTTAACGTCAGATTTATAAACACTGACATGTTGGCAGCCATGACACCAACACTTATTTAACTGTAGCATCTTTAGTCAGGACTGTATGGTCCTGGTCCTGGTCCAGGTCCAGGTCCAGGTCCAGGTCCAGGAGGATCCTGCATGTTTTAGTTGTTTCTCTGCAGAATCTTGTTCATCACTCATTTATTGAAACCAGCTGAGGCAGATAAACCTCTAAAACATGCAGGACCAAGAGTGAGGACCACTGGTCTAAAATAATAAAACATTATTTAACTGCAGTGATGTCATCAAAAACTACAGGTTGGTGGTCTTCATCCTCCTCTGGGTCTAGCTCAGACCAAGGTTCTAATAGTTTTAGATTTTTCATTAAAGTTTAGTTTTGTTTTATTTCATTCTGACTTTTTTTTTCTTTTAATTTAGTTTTAGTTTTTACAGTGGATTTGTTAGTTTTTATTAGTTATTATTGTATTTTTAATGC